TATATATATATATATATATATATATATATATATATATATAAACAATAATCACCTATCATCACACAACATGCAATATATTCACCTCATATTCATGTTCACCATATCATCAATCAAACAAAAAGAATTTTCAAAGTAAATTGTGCCTAGTGCCACACACCTTGCACACGACTCCACACACCAAACCACAATATCTACACAATAGGATATGCAATTTTAAAAACATCTCCTCTAGTCAATCATCATAACTCAACAACATCATACCTAAATGTCTAAAGCATTCATCATCTCAACAACACAAAATCATCACACATTTAGCAAATTCAACACAGCCACACAACCTACAACTCAACTCAACTTTCAACTAGCAACTCACATCATAATCCTCATCATACAACATATTGATTTCATGATCATGCAACGTCATCCATACAACTCGTTCATCATCATTTAGTCATGAATAACAACTCAAACAAAAAGTGTTCAACATACAACTCATTCATCAAGTTGTCGCCACCGGCCCGAAACGGGCTTTCGGCATTCGAATAGATGAGATTTGTTAGAAATTTTAAATTGATTGGAAACCTATATATAAGCATTCTCTTCTATGAATTTTAATGGTAATTTTAATGATAATTTTCCATCTTCAATTTTAATTTTAATTTGTCTGCAAGATTCAATTTTTCTATATTTTTCACAAAATATTTCCAACAAACTATTTGTTCAAAGGGTAACAATAACTTACAGGTCTTGTGACAACAAATCCTGAGAAAAGATTCCAAATAGCATAAAATGCAAAAGCCACAATGCCAGCAACATGCTCGTTTGGTGTTAATCCCACAGTCGTCATGCCGTAAAAGGTGAAGTACAACAACGTGAAGTACATGAAAAATATATACCAAAAGAATTTCTCTACAGTCCAGTCAAATCCGATCATGGCATAAACTATTACACCATATGATACAGATTGGATGAAGACATAGGGTAGCTCTACCAAAATCTGTGACCAAAAGTCGGGAGTTTGAGCAATGTATGCAAACTAATAATGTCTGTAAAATAAATAATGTTTTGAGTTACCTGTGCAAATGCATAGGGTAAAGCAGAATACATTCCAGAAGCTTTTTCTCTGTAAAAGACACTTCTTTCAACTGATACCACAGGCTGTACAGAGGAACAATTCTGTACTCCAATGAAGAAAACAGCAGCATACATTGAACCTAGAGAATTTGACAGGTCTTGTCTACTTGAACTGTATTATCACGAGAAGGAATTAGAACTTGAGTGGAATTTGGAAGAAATGAAAAAATATATCATATCTTTTTCTGTTGTTGATGAGTAATAAGAAATTATTTTAAAAAATTTACTAATTTTGACTTACTGTTTGCCTCCAAGATTCCAGAACATTGTTCCAAAAATCAAGGCTACAAAAACAGTGAAGAAAAACCTCGAGGCAGTGTATGGAGGATTACGCCAGTATGACCAACGTTGTTTCCATAAGCAAGCTTGGCATTGGACCAAGAAAGACTGAGAGTATTGAGTTGGGTAATGAAGATCCTTTGAACCAGGAGCAGGTTGACCCAGCTCTTGTATGAGCTGCTTGTTTCTCCTGAAAATCCATGAAAAACTCATTCAAGCGTTTTGAAAATCAAGAAAATAAAGATGGCAATAGCCAGTATAGTTAATAAATTCATATACAAATACAGTAGCATACCTATATAGATCAGAATTCTGGTACAAGTCAGTAAAATCAACACCCAAACTAAGTTCCTGTGCTGTAGTTGTAACTTCCAACATCCAAGTAGCCGGGTTATATCCGTCTTTGATTTTGCTCACCCCTTCAATGCTCTAGACAGTGCAGATTATTGAAAAATTTTAGCATCTGTTGTCAAGAATTATAGTTGTTCACCTAATATTATTGAATTTAAGTATGACCTTACCTCAAAATACTTGATCAAATGACTAGAATGGCGACCCAATGGCCCAACATATATTTCTTGTCCTCCACGCTTCATTAGGAATAGCTGGAATCACACGTAAAATGTCATGTTAGATTCATGTCTAATGGAGAAAGAAACTAAATAATAAGACACAAGCTTCATTTATCATTTCCATCACTCACCTCATCAAAGGCTTCAAGGCTTCTTTCAGCGAGCCGATCAGTTGGAGTATCGGGACGCCGTTTGCGAGTGCCCTGATCATCTGACCCCGACAGAGATGTGGAGAGAGGTCACGGGTCAGATGGACTATCACACCAGAGTAAAGGGTACCCGGCTCCCGACTGCGCTCCGGATTTGCCACAAGCTGATCACCGGCTCCATCCATGCCAGACCGAAGAGCCCAGAGTCATTGACGCGGCAGGATCTACTGGCTCTTTACTGCATGGCCACCGGACAGAGGGCCAACCCCGAATTCTTTTTCCTTTTTGAATAAATTTTAGATAAGATATTTGTTATTATTGCAGTTTTATTTTTATATTTTATTTTCAATTATTCAATATAATCTCAACAAGTAGAGTTGTTAATAGATGAGATTTGTTAGAAATTTTAAATTGATTGGAAACCTATATATAAGCATTCTCTTCTATGAATTTTAATGGTAATTTTAATGATAATTTTCCATCTTCAATTTTAATTTTAATTTGTCTGCAAGATTCAATTTTTCTATATTTTTCACAAAATATTTCCAACAAACTATTTGTTCAAAGGGTAACAATAACTTACAGGTCTTGTGACAACAAATCCTGAGAAAAGATTCCAAATAGCATAAAATGCAAAAGCCACAATGCCAGCAACATGCTCGTTTGGTGTTAATCCCACAGTCGTCATGCCGTAAAAGGTGAAGTACAACAACGTGAAGTACATGAAAAATATATACCAAAAGAATTTCTCTACAGTCCAGTCAAATCCGATCATGGCATAAACTATTACACCATATGATACAGATTGGATGAAGACATAGGGTAGCTCTACCAAAATCTGTGACCAAAAGTCGGGAGTTTGAGCAATGTATGCAAACTAATAATGTCTGTAAAATAAATAATGTTTTGAGTTACCTGTGCAAATGCATAGGGTAAAGCAGAATACATTCCAGAAGCTTTTTCTCTGTAAAAGACACTTCTTTCAACTGATACCACAGGCTGTACAGAGCACTTATGCAACGGGTGCTTGTCAATGCTAGGTGTGTTGGTGTCAAATTTCAACCATCCAGCGTCTATAAGTCCTTGCACACAATATTGTATGGCCTTGCATTGCTCCACGGTCTGTCCCAGAGAGTCAGAGTGGTACAACCAACTCAATTAGAAAAGTAAATATTTGACTAATATATAGTTCTCACACTAAGCATGGAATCTCATGCTAAGTGTCAAACTTCTAGGAAGTCGTGTAAGAAAAATTTCAAGTTCCTACACTAAGCATGAAATCTTACACTTAATGTCAACCCTCTAGAGGCATACCCAATTCTCACACTAAGTGTGAAACTCACAATTAGCCTTAGCTAGTTAGCCACACTAAGTGTGAAAACTCACACTTAGTCTCAACCTTCTAGAGGCACTTCCCAATTATCATGCTAAGCGTGAAAACTCATTCTTAACCTCAACTTTCTAGAGGCACTTCCCAATTCTCATGCTAAACGTGAAAACCCGCGCTTAGCCTGTTGAGATTTCCGTTGAAACTACTTTTATCATCATTATAAATCATTTTGATTATATCAATGGACTCAAACACGGCAAGTATACCGGTCGTTCAAGTAGTAAATTATATCGTATCCACAGGGACTAGTAGGTAAAATAAGCATTTATTGACTATTCGTGACTAAAGAATAATTCCAAATTCATAGTTTGTCATGCAAGTTGAATTGAAGGTTATGACTATTGGAATGTTGAACTATAAAAGTATTTGTTTTGTGTGTGGAGAAGGGTAGAAATGGTATTATGGTTTTGTAAGATTGTGGGGTCAGATATCACCAAACGTCACACTAATGAATTCTTAATCTTTTATTACATTCATTGCTTAGTCAACCCATAAGTTTACTCAAACCTAATCCCTTAGGGCAAGAACCTAGGTGCGGATAGTGAATATCAATTCCTTGAGTATCCAATACCTACACTCGCATTACGGGTTAGGGTTTAAGACTACTAATGGGCCAAGCTCCATTCCTAGATACATTTCTCACTAGGCATTTGTTTCAGAGCTAGTTTTAATGGTTATTTTCCAATACCCAATGGAACCTATATCATGCAAGGAGAATCAATCCAAAGCAAACATTAAGAATAGAAACATACACAACAGTGAATGGAACAACATGTATATATCATTAAAAATGTAAGGATTACAATAGAGTATCGTTGGTTACATCTAACCCCACAAAATAATGGGTAGAACCACTCAAAACAATGAGGGTGAAACAAAAATAGAGGTGGAAGAGAGAATGAAGAACCGAAGGAAAGACCCACAAACAAACGGTCCCAAGCTTCGGGAATCCCTTCCTCAACTCCTAGAATGCGTCCAATGTGTGAATGAGGAGAAAAACCTCAAAGATTTCTTCAAATACGAGCTTGGGGAGTCAGATTAGGGTTACACGCCCGACGTATTAGTCTTGCGCACGGCACAGTTACTCTTCCCTGCTCCTTAGCTCCTTAAATTTCCAATCTTATGGGTCTTCTATCCTCAATTCTCTAGCTCAATACCTGCACAAAAAATGAGGTGTATTAGGATATTGTTAGCTAAATTCTAGGTTAGCTATATCTGCACACAAAATGAATCAAAAAGATAACAATTATCTTGCAATGGTGCAAAGGATGAGTGAAATTGTTCAATAAGTCTTGTCCAAAAAGAAGTATAATTGAGACTTAACATAGCCTAAGAAACTTATGCATGAACATCAAGAACAACTCATCAGCTCAATAAAGTTCCTTCCCTTCAAAATTTCAACATCCTCACAATCAGACTTGATTCCTACATACAACTCATCATATATATCATTTACACATCAATATGAAACTCAGAATTTAAAAGAAAAGGAAGAATGTAACACCAAATCATTAACAAACACATCAAAATTTTCTCCCATCACCAAGAATGCCAAAATTTCATATTTCAACATGCAACTCACTCTGAAATCAAATCGCATAGCTACGAATTTCAATGATTCTATCAACATTAAGTTTATAATTCATTCAACAACTCTACATTCCAACTAAACTCAGGATTTCTAGCTTCCTTTACCTTGATTTTGAGCCAAACTAAGAAGGAGAAAATGAAGAAGAATGAAGCTTCACGAAGTCTTCGCTCTGACACACTAGAAACAGATTTCCCTTTTCTTCAAGTTTGAATCTCTACTTAGGAATCTGAGAAGAAGAAAGGAAGTTTTTTAGGATTCTTAGAGCTTTTCTTACTACTCTCTCTACAACTCCTCTAAAGAAATGAACTAATGAAGCTTATTTCTAAAGAAAGGACTTAAATACCTTTCTCCAGGTTTAGCTTTACCCTTACTCAAAGACACTCCTCTTCTAACACAAAACTTATGAGGAATTACTCAATTTCAAAGTTTTTCAACACTAAATAATTTAACAACCACAACAACATTTACATAAAAAAAATACAACACTCTATAACTCATAGTGTTATGACATGAGTACGATGAAGATTAAGATTATGAAGATAGATGATAATTTCATTTTAAAGCATTCATTAAAAGAGAGAATGAATATCATCTTTGATAATTTAATTTTTTGAAATAAGTAAAAGAATGTGTACTGACCGTACCGCGAAGCCGAGCTCCAAGCTCGACATCACAGTACCAGATGATCTCGGGCACGCGTCATACGACGTCAGCTCGGCATCACAGTGCAAGATGATCTCGGGCACGCATCATACGACGTCAGCTCGGCATTCCAGCAAGATGATCTCGGGCACGCGTCATACGACGTCAGCTCGACATTCAGGTGAATCACAACTGATTCCCGAGGATCTCGCCCATACGAGACCCATTATCTAATCACTGATTACCGAGGATCTCGCCCCAGACGAGATCCGCTATCATATATTATCTCAGGCCCCGAAGATCTCGCCCCAGACGAGATCCGCTATCATATCTTATCTCAGGCCCAGAGCCCAAAGCAACCCTAATTCACTTCAAGGTACGTGCATTACTTATACGAGACTATTACTCATACAAACCCTAACTTTAGCATCGGAGTCTCTTTTGCAGGTACCACCCCCATCTTGGAGCATCAGTGTACCAGTGAAGGAGGCTCACCAATCTTACTTGGAAGATCGTCCCTACGATAAATTCCGGTAAGAACATTTGGCGCCCACCGTGGGGCCGATCGAGATAGCTCTTATCGACCACCCGTATGGTATTCACCAGAAGCCACAATAGACGTGCAACAAATGACGCTGAACACTCAGTCACCATGGACAGTGACGCTGCAACCTTGAGAAGGCTGATCGACCAAGTCAAACAGATGCGCCAGCAGCATGACACTGACCTGCGCAACATGCGTGCCAAGCACGAAGCCGACCTGGCCGCAATACGAACCACTAACGAAGTTGACCTAGCGGCTCTGCGCGCGGAAAACAAGAGGATTCGCGCTCAACCCCAGCGGCGACACTCTGATCACCCCTCCGGCTCTCAACTCAACCCCGGCGGAGCAATGCGAGGCGAAGTAAACCAGGAAGCAGAATCAACTACCCTACGGGGAGTAGTCAGTACAATCACAGGAGGTTTCGCAGGAGGAGGCGCCAGCAGCTCGGCCCGGAAAAAACACCTGCGCAACGTCAACCGCGTACACTTCACTACCTCTGCTTCACACCAGAGCTCGCCGACGATCACCTTCACCGACGACGACTATGCCGGGGTCAACCCCAACCAAGATGACCCCATGGTTATAGCCGTGGCGTTAGCTAATTGGGAGGTTCACAAGACCCTGGTCCACCAAGGGAGCTCGGCCGACATCCTATATTGGCCAACGTTCCTCAGGTTAGACATTCCCCACTCTCTCGTACAACCTCTCACAGAACCCCTAGTCGGTTTTGCAGGAAGGAGCGTTCACACCCGGGGATACGTGGACTTACTAACCACCTTCGGAGCACCTCCGGATTTAAGGCGGGTCATGGTTCGGTACCTCCTCGTGGAAGCCGACACCTCCTATAACGTCATCATCGGCAGGCCAACCTTGAATCAGCTCGGAGCGGTGGTGTCTACCCCGCACCTCACCATGAAATTCCCAGGACATGATGGGAAGATTATCTCCCTCAAAGCAGACCAAAAGGTGGCACAACAATGCTATACTGAAAGCCTGAAAGTTGCCCCACTCGGTGAAC